GATGTTCAGTGAATTAGGACGCCTCTTCATGCTAGAGCGAGAGAGAGCAAGAAAAAAAAGAGGGGAAAGAGTCAGTGAAACATGGCAGGCTTGAACGCATGAAAAGCAACAATTTAAACAAAAAAGTGCCATAGTAAATAGCATTCGGAATAACAGAGTTGGAAGGGACCTGGGAGGTTTTCTAGTCTGACCCCCTGCTCAAGCAGGAGGCTATGCTCAATAGAAGAGAATATTTGTAGCTTCAGCTTGAACTGTGGGGTCCTTGGTCTCTCTGGTTGTTGTTTTCTTGCAGATGTTTCATTACCCAATTAGGTAACATGAAATCAGTGGTGGGATTCAACATTGTTTACTATAGGTTCTGTGGGCGTGGCTTGGTGGGCGTGGCAGGGGAAAGATACTGTAAAATCCCCATTCCCTCCCCACCCCACTAACCTGCTTTCCAGCTCCGTTCTCCTGTGCAGGGCAACCAAAGAAGACCCAGCCGATCAGTTGGGACTTGGGAGGCAGGGAATAGATGGGGTTGGTGGGGCCAGTTAGAGGTGGGATTTGCCAGTTCTCCAAACTACTCAAAATTTCCGCTACTGGTTCTTCAGAACTGGTTAGAACCTGCTGAATACCATCTCCGAACATGATCAGTGGTAAACCAACCAACCCCCTTCTAGTGCTGATGATGTTACCTAGTTGGGTAATGAAATGTCTGCAAGAAAACAACCATGCTCAGAGAGCATCAAGGACCCCAGAATTAGAATTCAAGTGTTCTTTAGGATCCATTGAATATAAACCTGTCTCTTATATGAATTTGGGCTGAGAGGAATCATCCATGTTATTCCAACTCGTAACGACAGAATCTAAAGAGATGGCATACTAAAGAAGTTTCCATATAATATGTTTCTCTCAAGCTCACCACACTGAAAGTCAAATGAAGTCCACTTCTCTTCCAGATACCAAGCTTGAGAAACGCTGCCTTAGAGGCATCAAGTAAACCATTTAACTGTCTCACCATGACAGCCATTTTCCATTTAAAGAAGGCCATCCAAGTTAGTTGAGGAAATTATCTAGGTGTTGAAATCTTCAACACCGGCGCTTGGGGAACAAATGCACTTCACAATGTTCTTCCCTATCCACACATTCCTGGTCACTAAGTTCAGAATATTCCTTATTCCAAGCTTATTTATTAATCAATTTTGTATAGCCACCCATCTCCCCAAAAGCAACTCTGAGCGACATACAGCAAGTTGGTCTACTTTTTCTTTTTAATCAAATAAAGTCAAGTTTCCAAATTGAGTGCAATTCCTCCTGAGGGATGTGTCCATATGGTTTATTTGTTTTTGTTTTTTTGACAACACACGAGTCATTTGCCATTGGATTTTTCCATTTAACTTTTCACGATTAGTGACACTTGGCTAAGCATTTACATTTGCTGTTAGATGTCAGATAATTCTGGTTTCTACCACATTCTAACAGATTTATAATAATAATAGAATTATCTCCCATCAAAGTATTAACTAAGTTTAATCATGTTTAGCTTCCTCAAGGTGTATTGAGGGGTGCCTTCTATTAAAACCCGTCTGATGGACAAGATGAAAACAAAACTGGTGGAGGTTGGGTTTAGATTCCATCAAAACTAGATGAAAATACCTTTACCCCATCAACCATTTTTTTCCTCTGCCACTCTCTCTTCACCAGGAAAGTGTGAGGAAGGGCACAGATTGACCTTGACAGTAATTGGCTTCTTGCAAAAAAAAAAAAAAAAAACTAAAGTTGCTTGTCTTGATCTAAATGGCATGTGGGTTTTGCCAGCATTTGGGTTTTGCCAGGTCCCTTTTTTGGATTGTCTTGGAAATACAAGGAGGTAGACATACAAAGTATGTTCTCTGCCACTGAATTATAGATCTTTTAAGATCAAAAGAATTTATGAAAAGTAGCCCCAAATCACATTAATTAAATCATGACAAGAAGCTCAGAACATTATATTCTTTCACTGTTCAATCTCAGGTACAGATTGGCTGTGGCAGATTGGCTAAAAGCACTGGATAACAATTTGGGGAGCTATCAAGTAAGAGTCCAGAGCCTTGCTTAGCTTTGGAATTATCTTGAGTTCAGTCACTCAAATAACATCCTATCTAAGCTAGTTGAGTTGCTATGAAAACAAAAGAGGACTGAGAAGATCATGGCCATGACTCAGACACTTTGAAACAGAAATAAGATAAAAAACACAATCAAAAGAACAAGGGAATGCTATAAGACACTTAATGTGTAGCTTGATCCATCTTGACTATTTTAGGACAAGTTGACATATAGGAATGAAAATCAGATACTACAAATCTATCCAAGACTGGGTTACTATCATTTTTTTCTCTTGCTTTTCCCAGTGTGGATGTGTTTCATCTCCCAGTTGTTGTCATTTTCAAAGTTGAAAGTAGAAGGCAAAAATATAAATTCTCCAGTTCCTAGTTTAGCAAAATACAATTGATGTGTTCAAATAACATGGAATTTCCCACGAAATCCTATTATGACTCAACATGAGAATGTGGTTCATACACAGCTAAAGTATGGTGAAATGCTAAATAGCTAACATCAGTTTTGTGTCATCTCTTCTGCTAGCTAAGCCAAAAAAAAATGGGAGGAGGTTTCTCCCAAGGAGCTCTGTGTGGACTTTTTCCCTCCAAAAGTGCTCCTTTCCAGCCCTATCTCACCAATGTTTTTAGTTTTCTGAGGGAGGAAGAGAGATTTGGATATGATAATGAACTCAACCAGCTTTTTATAAACATGTCTCTTTCTTATCCCAAAGATAACACTGGAGATGGTTGAAATGAGTCAAACTTCTCCTTTCATGACTCAGCTTTGTTTGATGGATTTCAAATGGGGATTTAATCCAACTAAGAAGCAACTCAGAACTTCAAATGTAAAACTGAAGGTTCTGGAGGAAGCAATGAGGGAAAAGGCTAATGAGATTTCCTTACATTCCCCTGTGGAGAAGAAGTCATATTAAGGGGATCAATAGAAACAAATGTAATCACCTCATGCATGGTTAACAAAATCTTCAAACTGCTCTCTTTTTCAAAAATTTGCCACTCAAGGACTTCTATCCTAGCAGGAGGCTAAGAAGGGCTCTTACAACCTTCTTAGAAAAATATTGAATTACCTTTCCCCTATATTTTATGGTAGCCCTGGTTAATTTTTGTCTCCGGGAATCAAACATCAACCGCTCCTCACAACACCCCACCCCAATAATGCTGAAAAACTAAAAAAAAAATAAAAAATGTAACTATTATAAGATCACCCAATACTGCAAGATTTGAGATCTTGCCAATCTAAATAGGAACCATTTTAAATGGTGCCTGTTGTTTCTACTTCAAACATGGTGCCAGAGCAGACATTGGGGCAAGTAGGCCTCTAAACACACAATGTATGGAGATGATAGGTGTGGCTACCAGGCCTGATTCACACTCTGAACTTGTGCTCAGCATGGGTCAGGAATGTTTTTCTCTGATCTTCAGAAAAGAGATTGTCCCACTTCCATTTAGCAGCAGTACAGAATGGCAAACTATGACTGGTGATCAGAAATTCCATGACGATGGTGAACATGATGGTGAACATGATGAAGATGATAAAGAAAACTCAACCCCTTCCCCATCTTAGAAAGAGTCCACCAAATTACCTTTTTCTCCATGATGGGTGGTGACTGAAGTGACAAACAGAGAACAGCCAATACAAGACAGGTAATGGCACAAGAAGCAAGACAAGAGAACAACCATTAGAGTGCGAACGTCATGCAAGCATGCATTGACATGCTCAGACAACATGCTCATTTGAACAGAGATTGACATGCTAGCCCAGAACCTCACAAGCACATTGTGAAGCAAGGATGATACTGTTGTGTGTACAGTTACACTGCGTTGCTGGTCTGCAATCTCAAATAAAGTGATGTTTCTTTATTGTACATCAGCGTAAGACACTTTGCAAAAATTTGAAATAGTCGTTTCAACACTGATCCCACAGTTTTATCGTTCGAACAATGGTCTCTGCATTCATGGCAGAAGATGGCAATTGTATAACATTTGCAAAATATAGTAAGCCAAGATTTTCTAGAATTCTTGTTTTGGAGTAGAATTCTTTGAAACAAGCCAGGGATCAGAAACAAAGAACACATCATAGCTTTCAGCTCTAGCTTCTTCTTAGAGGTGGGACAAATAAGAATTTTTTTTGGTGGGGGGGTGGACTTGATAGTATTGACACAGATAATAGTTACATGTGAAAGACCCACGACTAGATCTCTCATAATGTACTTATTTTACATTGAAGGACGGAGATGACTTGAATGGAAGACTCACACTGGACATAACCCTTAATGCGTAACTCTTTTCATAATCTCAGGAATATATAAATATGTATTTCTCTCTGTGCGATTCCTTTTTCTTTCTTTCTTTTTAATCCTACAGAGCTTAGATCACGAAAGCAGAGAGAGAAGGGATTAAACATCCCAAAATAAATCAGTTCCTTTTATGTAGAAATAACTACTCCTGAAGTTCTAATCATGGTTTTCCAATGTAATATTTCATCTGGCTTATGGACAATTTTCTCTATGTTTCCTAAAACTGTACCAGGAAATACAAGGGTAGATATACTATATGTTCTAATAAGAATTGTTGATTTCCTTCTTATGGTGACAAGTAAGTTTATAAGTTGGCTTTTGATTGCCTTCATCTAAAACTTGAGAACTGTTTATTAGGAATGGGGGATATACATTCCATCAGTGAGTTCCCAAGATGGATTACAAATTACCACATTTCAGGGAAAAACTCAAAACTTTAAAAATAGCAGGATTTAAAAGAACAGCAGAAAAGAGGGGTGGATGACTCTCAAATCTGGCTTCATACTATTTCACATTTTAGTGATCAGCATTCCAGACCTATTTGTCCCAGCAGTAACTATCACCATCTTCTTGGAGTTAGTTTCTCCTAGACCATTCATACCACTAGCAAAATGCTTGAAGTACTCTTTGTCTCTATTCAATGCATCCTATACCTACTTCTCCCACACTCAATAACATAAAGAGTTTTTGAAATCTCAAAAGTTGAATCCTTCTCATCCACAAAATCTGTGGATGAGTTCGAACTTCATAATCAGACCAGAAAGTTATATGTTCTTATATCTCATTACACTCCAACAATATTTTCTTAAGGTTGGGTTTCCCAGCCACTTGAAGAAGTGTGGACTTCCCAGAATTCTGGGAGCTGGCTGGGGGATTCTGGGAGTTGAAGTCCGAACATCTTCAAGTGGCCAAGATTGGGAAACACTGTCTTAAGGGATCATCCCTTGTGCTCCCCCTATAGAACAGGGGTGTCAAACTCGATTTCATGGAGGGCCGCATCGGGGCTCTGTTTGACCTCAGGGCGCCAGGGTGGGCATGGCCAGAGTGGACGTTGCCGGCTCGACGTCACTCATGTGATGGTCCAAGGGCTCTGCCAGTGAAAACAGGTACCCAAGCTCCGTTTCAGCTGCAATGGCCTCCTGCAACCCTCTGCCAGAGAAAACTGAGCTCGGGAGGATCCTAGGAGTTCTGTTTTCACTGGCAGAGGTACCACGGGCCAGTTCTTCGCTGTTTCAGGGTGGCTCCGTGGGCCAGCTCTAAGCACCCCGCAGGCTGGATCTGGCCTCCGGGCCTTGAGTTTGACACCCCTGCTGTAGAAAACCTGCCTGTCCGAATCAGTTGTTGCCATATTGTTTTTGATTTGCCAAAAAAGAAGGCAAGCTTCTCAAACTCATAGAAAGAAACTCCAATGGAAGCAAATCACAAGGAAAGCACGTTGGCATCCTCCCATCCTCACACAGAAAAATGTCCCTCTCTTCAATAAATCCGGGAATTACAGAACACGTTCTGTGCTCATACACGCGCTCCCATTCTAAAGGATACAGGATGTCTCCACTTTTCAAAAGAAAAAAAAAACACCCTAAGCACAATCATAGAGCTAACCACATGCAGAGGTGAGATAAGCAAGGGGAACTGTGGAATACAAGTCCAGCCGGATACAAGCCAAATACAGAAGAAGGTGCATTGACTGGGATGAAGGAAATAACACTCCTGACATTGGTTGGTGGGTCACAGAAGATTTACACACGACACCAAACCCCACACCCTGTAGGGATTTAATTAAACAACGTTCTTTTCTCTTCCCCCGGAAGCGAGTCCATCTATTCACTCCAAAGATGGACAACTTGCCCAACGTAGAAGAAATTAATGCTCCTGCTGTCTCCATGATCTCAGTCTCTGTTCTATCCCCACCTTTGTAATTTATAACCCCATTTCATGGAGGGCCTGTCCCTGCCTAGGGCATAAGGCACCTGAAAGCAAGAGGCTGCAGATAATAATCCTTATTGGGCTCCATTCCCCACCACAAGCTGTAACCTGTTAAGATTGAATCAGAAAAGCTTTTGTCCTTGTCCAGGTAGTCCTCGACTTGCAACAATTCATTTAGGGATCATTCGAAGTTACAATGGCACCGAAAAAAGTGACTTATGACCATTTCACCCCCCTTATGTCTATGGGTGAAATTCAGATGCTTGGCAACTGGCTCATATTTACGAAGTTGCAGTGTCCTAATTTCATGTGATCCCCTTCTGTGATCTTCTGATGAGCAAACTCAACGGGAAAGCCAGATTCACTTAATGACCATGTTACTAACTTAACACCTGCAGTGAGTGATTCACTCAACATCTGTGGCAAGAAAGGCCATCAAATGGGGCAAAATTCATTTAGCAACAGGAATTTTGGGCTCAGCTGTGGTCATAAGTCAAGGACTACCTGTACAAGTATAGCTCTTCAGCGAAGGAGCCCAGTCTTTAAAAAAACTTCTTGCAAGCCTAAAAAAACGGTACAGCTGCTTTAAGAGTTGCCTTAACTTCAAGGGGATTTATTTAATCTCATGCTCACCAAGGGCTCCTTCCAAATTATTTTCAAAGCTTGCATAGCCTGTTTATAGCTCTTAAGCTAGAACAGGAAGACACAAATATAATTTCCAACATTTTGGCCTTTGGACTCTACTTTAAAGTGTTTGTTTCTAATCTCAAAGAAGCCAGACTTCTTAAGAAGGAAATAGTAAATTGGGAAAAAATAGGGGCTGGGGGGAGTATCTTAAAGGAATTTACATTCAAACTTTTAAAATCATTTTTTAAAAACTCTGCTGTGGTACAAAATGCATTCACATTTGCTACCCTTTGGTTTGAAATCATGCTTCACAACATCAGGACAAAGTACTGAACCTCCTGGAGACGAAGACTTAAACCAACTTTTCAAAGGAACATGCCGACAGGGAAAAGCTGTGTAACACAACTAGAGGCATTTCAAGCATTTTTCCTTCACTCTCCCCATGCAGATCCCACCATCGTAATTCACCCTGTTCCCAAAGGCTCAAAGAAGCAGCCTGGCTCATGTATTGTCCCAAGATGCTCATTTCGGTCACATGGAGAGAAGCATCTAGGCCAGATCAGAACAGCCCTTCTCGCCTTGAAACTCTTACTTCCTTAGGGGCAGAACCCGGGGGCACACCTTACCTTCTCCCAGACAGACCACTCTCGTTTTGGCTATTTCCAGCGACCTGCTGCATCTTGGATCTCTCAATGTGCTCCACATAGGTCTGGATCATCTGCCAAAGAAGGGGAAGAAAAAGAAAGATGGTACTTAATGTGGATTCCCTCTTCAATTTAGAGTGGTACCCGAGTCCAACGTTTTGTGATCTGAAAAATGGCTTCTCTTTTAAAAATAATAATAATAATAATAATAATAATAATAATAATAATAATAATAATAATAATAGTGTTCTGGCTTTTCCATACAGCAGAGACAGAACTTACAAACTTCCAGCTATGATTGAGTTGTGGTGGCGCAGTGGTTAGAATGCAGTACTGCAGGCTACTTCTGCAGCCTGCCAGCTGCTTGCAGTTTGGCGGCTGAAGGTTGACTCAGCCTTCCAAGGTCAGCAAAACGAGGAGCCAGATTGTTGGGGATAATATGCTGACTCTGTAAACCACTTAGAGAGGGCTGTAAAAGCACTAGGAAGCGGTATATAAGTTTAAGTGCTATTGCTATTGCTGCAGTTGATTGGATGTTGCATTAGGAGCCCTGGTGGTGCAGTGGTTAGAATGTGGTATTGCAGGCTGACTCTGCCCACAGTCTGGAGCTCAATCCTGGCTCAAGATTGACTCAGCCTTTCATCCTTCCAAGGTGGGTAAAATAAAGACCCAGATTGTTGGGGGACAATAGGCTGACTCTGTAAACCACTCAGAGAGGGCTGGAAAGATCTGTGAAGCGGTATATAAGTGCTATTGCTAAGTGCTACTATACTCCAATACCCACCGCACTAGAACAGAAGATCAGAGAAGATGGGAATCCAGTCCCATAAATCTGAAAGGAGTTAGGGTTACTGCTGTCATTTACTTTTAGACCTGTACATTCCAACTAATAATAATCAGCTCTCATCCACTCCTAGTAAAGGAGATACCTCTGTGTGCCGCTGGTGTAGAGCATTGTATTCTTTCTTCATTTCAGATTCACGCTCCTCCAACCGGGAAACTGTTCATTATTTTAAAAAGAAAGAAAAAAAAAAGAAAGCGGGTTGAGGAGAAACAGATCTCTGAGAAAGACGATACTAACAGGTGGTAAATGGAATGAGGATACTTCTTCAAGCTTGCTCTAGTTTACTCCCACTGCTTTGTTGTAACATTACAAATCAACAAAAGAGTAGGTTGTGCCTCAATTTCCTGGTGGCTTAATTGATACAGCATGTACTTTTCAGGTAGAGATCTTAGATTCAGTCTCTGAACTTTTAAAACAAGCTACAAATAGCCACACCTTGAGCCTAGTCAGACCAAAGGTCTATCTAATGAAGTGTCATCTTTATAAACATTTGGATTTGGTTCCCTATGCAAACTTAGGAATTGAAGCAGAAACCTTTTACATTCAGTATGTCATGCCCCTGTCAGAATCTGATTCGGAGGGGGAGGCCGAGCAGCTGACGGGGTGTGGGAGTGTGGCTCCATTGGCTGTGGAAGAAACTGGGGAAGGGCAAAGTCCGGCTGGGCAGAGCAAGGGAGAGGTAGGGCAAGGCAGAGGAAATTTGGAGGAAAACCCAGGCCCACCCCCTCTTCATCCTAGGGCATGCAGGGAGGAACAGAGAAGGGAGCAATGTGAGTTGCGTGGCTTAAGGAGGAGGAAAGGGCCCTGATTCCCTTCATTAGCTGCAGCTGGGAACACAGTGTTTAAAAAGCGAAGTTGCGTACAGCAAACTGTTGGGAGCAAATCGTGAATTATCTGGTATTGTCGAGGCTTATATGGGTTCCTGGCGTCTTCCCAACTGTGTGTGTTTTGCTGTGCTATCAAGTCTGCAATTCTTTATCCTGCCCTGTCAAGTTAATTGCTGCAGCTTGGTTTGTGTGTATTTTTAGTTACAATTTGTATGTACTTCGTTTTCGGACTGAATTTCCTCCACTTAAAGACTGTTCTTGGGAGAATTTTTTCTCCAGCCAGAAGGTAACCAGGACATTGGGGGCAAATTTGGAGGTATTAAAGGGACTCTTCTTACTTATGTGACTGTGTTGCCTTTGTGCCACGGCCCGGGTCAACACACAGTAAATGTTTTTCCTCTGAAGCCAATTAGTGCTTTGTCTATTTGGCAGTTCATGATGCATTGAGGGTAATCCAACCAAATTCAACAAAATCTGTGTATGGCATGCAGTAAAACATGGCCAAATTTTGTCAATGGCTATACTCACTCTGGTCGGCATAGTTCTTGGCCTTCAGCTCCAGCTGCCGTGTTTGAAATTCCAGGTGCTCAACCTGAACCTGCAACTCTTTCTTTTCCTGTTCCAGTGCATCTTCAAATTCAATAAATTTCTATTGAAGACACAAATAATGTAAGCAGAGAAACTGTGACTTTTACTACAATCTGCAATCAATCGAAAACTGTCCCTTCTTACAAATAGTGCAATTTTCCTATGAAAATGCATATTTTAAGCATATAGCAACTGTCACCTGGGCTAATTAGTATTTTGAGGTGTTGTTCTTTATAAAAATAAATTATTTTGGCTTTGCACAAAAATATTTTTCGTCTGCACTGTAATATTTCTTCCTTTGTCTGCAGTGCTGGATTCAGACCTGAAGGCAAACACAAATATTGTGACAGACATCTACAATCTTTATACTATGCATAACTTCGGCCAATTCAGTCTGAAGCACTATCCACCACTCCTTGTGTTGGTACAAAAGTCTCCAATATAAAACTGGCTCTCTGCTTCACCAATTCCCAATCCACCTTGGTTTCATCTGTTGGACCCCCGTTGCTGAACCATGCTAATGTCATTGGCCAGTTCCTCTCTGGCTCTATAATTTACCCTTTAATTATTAAACAAATTTACACAGCAGCCCAACAAAATTTACCATTTGTTTTTTTAAACATCCATCAAATAATCAAAACCTGTTTTAAAAAAACAACAACCCAGTTTCCGTGACAGCAACAACACAATCCAATCAGCCGCTCGATTGGCTCCATCTCCATTCATGGTCCCCAGGCTCTCTGACAAAACCATGTTTTTATGGCCCTTTGCAAAAGCAACAGGGTGGGAGACAACTGTACCTTTGGGGGAATGATGTTTCATAAAGAAGGGGCCACCACTGAGTAGGTCCTTTTTTGTGGTCCCACCAGATGTACCATCCCTAATCAATGGGGCTCGTCACATGCCCATCTTGGTTGGGCTTTTTTGGACTTCAGAAAAAACAATTACTACCAACCTGCCTTCCATCGAGGACCTATACACTGCAGGCGTCAAAAAGAGGGCTGTGAAAATATTTACAGAACCCTCACATCCCGGACATAAACTGTTTCAGCTCCTACCCTCAAAACGACGCTATAGAGCACTGCACACCAGAACAACGAGACACAAGGACAGTTTTCCCCCGAATGCCATCACTCTGCTAAACAAATAATTCCCTCAACACTGTCCAACTATTTACAAAGTCTGCACTACTATTACTGTTAATCTTCTCATCACTCCTTATCACCCATCCCCTCCCACTTGTGACTCTATGACTGTAACTTTGTCGCTTGTGTCCTTACGATCTATAATGACTGTTTCCTAGTATGATTTGATTGCTTATTGTACCCTATGACTATCATTAAGTGTTATACCTGATGATTCTTGACTCTTGACAAATGTATCTTTTCTTTTTATGTACACTGAGAACATTTGCACCAAAGACAAATTCCTTGTGTGCCCAATCACCCTTGGCCAATAAAGAATTCTATTAGATGTATTGGGGAGAGTCAGTCCTTCAAATAGCCTGGCCCAATGTCATGTAGGGCTTTAAAGGTGATAATAAACAGCACCTTGAATTGCCAACCTTCTTACCATGATACTACCTAGTGGAAAAACATTCACCCATCAGGACACTGCCCTTTGAACAGGCAGAGTGCCACTGTTTTTCTTCATTGTTTTCGCAAGACAAAGTGATCAAAACTGATAAATTTTGGGAAACTGGCAAATAAATAAAACAAAAACTCTGTTTAATATCCATCTTTGGTTTTCAGAAAGCTCCAATGAAGAAAGGAGACAACAAGGAATCTATTGCATACCTGAGGTATTCTTTGTCATTAAAGTACTGGATTCTATTCTATTGTCCTTCCTTGGCCTAGAAACTTAGAGAGAAGTTAGTTTTCAAAATAATTATTAGTACTGTAAAAACAGTGTATTCATGAGCAGTTTGTGATGCTATTGTATCCTTAATAAAAACAGACCAATCCAGAAGTCTTGACTACCTGAATATTTCTGATTTTATGCTAGCAAAGAACTGGAAATGAACCAATGTCTACAAACGTGATTATCATTCAAAGCCAAACCTTACTAGAATCTTTTATTACAGAAACTCTGCACCCCGGATTTTTATTTCTCTTCTGCCAATTTAAGTCATAAGCTGCAAATGGCCAGTTGGGGAAGGACGGCAGCTCAATGGAAACGGTATACACTTTGAAGACAGAATGCTCCAATACGTATTTGATTTTAAAAAAAAGATTCTAGTAGCAGATGATGTGAAAATCCTTTGGCTAGGTTCCAGAGAGCCATATTCCTGTTTAAACAATATGCTGCTAAATAGGCAAAAGGCCTAGACTCATGTCAATTTGATCACGGTCGGTGGCAATCGGTTTCACAAATTAACAAGTATTAATAAGCTTTTTTCCCTCTTTTCTATCAGGGTATGATTTCTAAGTGGAATATATGGCATTTCTAGCCAGAGGGACCAAGTCCTTTTTTGCATTGGTCATCTCAGAGGATGCTGCTACTGATCCTAATAATTAATGTTATTTTAAGTAGACACAATAGAATAGGAATAGGAATAGGAATGGAATGGAATAGAATAGAATAGAATAGAATAGAATAGAATAGAATAGAATAGA